CAAAGGCTGGAAACAAGTGATCCTGGGGTCTGTCTCCCCTCCTGGGCAGGGCAGACGTGCCTTGGTACCAGCCACTCTACTCCGGACTAAGGTGCCTGCTGGTGCTGTGTCCCAAGAGCCATAAGTGGGGGAAGGGGTCGGGAAAAGGAAGGGTAGTTAAGAATCTTGTCTTGAGATTTGATTTCTCTTCCTCTTTCCTCAGCTGTGCCCCTCTGGTTATTTATTTCCTTAGTGCCAGAAGGGCATCCAGCAGGGGAGTTCTGATTTTTTTTTTTTTTTTTTTTTTTAATAAATATGAATTGTATTTATTAACTTGGTTCCAGACTGATTCATCTGAGTTAAAAAAAGACTCCTAGTGATGTAGAACTGCCTCATAGGGGTTTCCAAGGCTCATTCTCCTGGTGGTTCAAACCACCAGTCCTGACCTCAGTGCTTTACCACTGCACCAACCAGGATTTTGATCAGTTCCACTGAGTGATCTCCAGACTCATAATCCCACCCCCACCCCAGAGTTCCAAGGCTGTACTTACTGAAGTAGGGTGCCTCATCTTTTCTCCCATAGAGCAGGACTGCTGGTGGGTTTGAACCACCATGCTTTAGGCACTGCACCACCAGAGCTGCTGGGCTAGTGAGGGCCCTGCAAAGCTAAGCCTAACTCTAAAGATAAAAGGACTAGCCATGGAAGGGCTGCAGCCATCCTGCTAAATTGCCCTCTGGTGGACAACAGGGAAACTACATCAGGCTTTGTGTGGAAGACAAGTCTCCTGCTGTTGCCCTCTGGTGGTTAGGTGGGAGGTGCAGTATGGATGTTTTAAGCAGCCAGGAACACCAAACCCACTGCCATCAAGTCAGTCCCACCTGATAGCCACCCCTACTGGGTTTCCAAGGCTGTACTTTATGGAGTAGATTGCCTTATCTCCCTCCTGTGGGGCAGCTGGTTGGTTTAAACCTAACGTGGTTAGCAGCCAAATGTCTTGCCCACTATGCCACCAGAGCTCATTTTATAAAGCAGGGGTACTTAGTTCATCCCCCACCAGACTGGTGCCTCTGCCCTAAGCAGATCTTTCCTTGGTCTAATAATAGCTACCACGCATTGGGCATTTTCATGTGGCAGATACTGCTAAGCACCTTAATGCATTATTTTATGGCCAAGTAGAATTTTTATCACATTAGTAGGACTTGTATCAGTAGGTTTAATGAGACAACGCATGTTATTGGCACAGAATTAGGGCCTATGAAAGTCTGTCTAAGTCCAAAGCCCAGCCCACAGCCTTCCAGGTTACGAGACACTTGGGTTGTCTCATCTACGATCTACTTGCTCTTCACACAGGCCCCAATGGATGCCTGTGATTATCCACATTTTACCTACAGACCAGGAAGAGGAGTGGATCAATTTACCAGTGATCCTTCAGTTGGGCAAGACCTGGATTGTTTTTAAACTCCAATACCTTAAAGTGTACCTCTTTGTATTTTGCCAATAGGTAGATGTCACAGTTTGGAGTCCACTGCTTATTTCTGGCAAGTCATTTAGTTCCATGGGGCATCATAGGAGAGTAATCCTGCTCACTTAAATTTGCTGAAAAATTAAATGAACATAAAGTACCTTATCCTTGCCTAGCCCTAGAAAAGGCCCAATGGATGGGAGCTGTTACCTAGCAAAGGAAGGTTCTTGTCTTCACTCCTCCCATACAACGGCTGGGGTGAAAAATCTTCATCAGGAAGTGACAGGAAAGGACCGAGTCTGACTGCCCAGTGGTTTTCTTCACCAGCCGTCTTTTCAAAAGGTCAAATTCATTGATCCAATGAAAGATGGGGCTCGGGCTTCCTAGCTGGAAGTAGAGAAAGACTCCCTCACCAGACAATACCCATCTCAGTTGAAGTGTGGTGACTGGACAGGGGAAAACCTCCATGGGCTCAAGATGAGGAAGTACTTTCACTTCGGCTCTAGCCTCAGGCAACAGGGATGGACCCACCCTGCCAGCCGTCTTGCAAGAGGAGCCAGACACCTTAGATCAAGCGTGGCTCCCTCTGCCGCTAGGACTGCACTACTGCACAATCCTAGGGGGCACGTTCACATAGAAGACTGAATGGCACTTCTAGAGTTGTGTGCACCACTGAGGCTTTGCAGTCAACCCCAGACCCAGACAGGAAAGACCACTAATTTGAACACCCATACAGGCAGGTTCTGCATCAAAGAGTGAGCTGGATTCAAGTGTATTCAGGAGCCTACGAGTCACTCAGGAGGCAGAGCTGGGTTCTATCACTTTGGCTCATCTCGCTGTTTGCTCTGACTGCAAGCTGCATCTCACACAGGCGGAAAGCGGCTTGCTTTTGCAGGAATGGCTTGAAAAGTAAAGGAGGCAAGGCGCTTCACAAAGGGGCACCTCACAGAGGGTGGCAAACTGACAGGGCATGTGCTTGGAACTCCATCAGCGTTCTCAGAGCCGCCTGTCAACTCCCGTTACCAAGGACCTGATTCCACCCTCCCTGAACTCTGCGTCCTTTGGAATCTTTCCTTCCCCCCATCACATCTTAGCCCAAACCCCAAACTCAGCAGAGGTGATTAGGTTTTTCAAGATTTCGTCCCTGCAGACTAATGGGAAGTTTTCTAATACTCGTAGCACATGAGAGCAGCTCCAAATACCTGGACAGTTTTCACGATACAGACCACAGCAGCTACTACCTCCACCTCTGACAAAACCAAACCTGCTGCCAGCAAGTCGATTTCGACTCACTGCAACTCTGAGACAGAATAGAACTGCCCTGCAGGGTTTCCAAGGCTGTAATGTAAATCTTTACTGAAAAAGACTGACTCACCTTTCTCCCTCAGAGCAGCTGCTGGGTTTGAACTTTTTTGCTTAATTAGCCCAATGCTTTAAACCACTGCAGCACCAGAGCTCTGTCAAAGGCCTTCAGAAATCCCAAAAGTTGGAGGCGGGGGAAGTCTTAGGTTGACTTATTATCAAACCAGACCCTCTTTTCTCAAGCAGCAGCAATGAGGCAGCAAACCATACTTACCCTTGTAGTGCCACACCGAGGCCTGGGCAGAGGATGCCTGGGTACCCTCCTGGGAAAAGGGGAGGGGCTGACTGAACTGCCTACCCCATGCTCTACAATCATGAGAGAATCTCGTCTCGGGTAATACACCAGAGAGGGTTTCTGAGTGGACCGAATACTACATGGGGCCCCCATCTTAAAAATGAAAGATTACTCCCCTTCTGGCAAAGACGACGTTAGAAAAATCACCTCAAACATTCACAGCATTGAACGAATAGGACAAGGTCAAAAGGTGAGGTTTTGCTTTTTTTTTTCTTTTTTTTCTTTACTGGTTTATAATAATCTTAAAAACCCCATCACACCCATAAACCACCACAGGTGAGAAAGTGAGGGAGATGGAGAATGACTGCTACAGTATGTGGATAGAGTGGGGAATTCAGGTATTCCCTAAGGGTAGTGTGGGATGAAGGCAGGGAGTGTGGACAGGAGGCCCTGGCTTGGACCCTTATTGCTGGCTAAGGGTTGGTAGGCAGAAAGGGAGGGGAGGAGGAAAGGGGCTCAGGTTCAATTAGGAAACATCTCACACCAAAGGTGAGGGCAGCGGGGGTGGGGAAATCACAGTACATAATCCATGCAGACTAGGGTGGGAGTGAGTGTTCCAGAGACTTGCACCCCCTACACAGGAAGAAATGAGTTTGAGGTTGTCTGACTTAAAGCTCCCAAATTGGCGTCTCGTCCAATTTCCTAAAAGGGCAGCAGCCCACCTTTTGGGGAAAGGCATTGAAGAAAAAAATTACAGCAAAAACACCTGGTTTGGAGATCAAGCGAGGCAGAGGGGGAGATATTTGACTCAGAGAAGCAGGACTCATGGGAAGGGGCCCTGGTGAGATGGTAGCCAACACCCTGGGAGGAACCAGTGTTCACAGATGGCAGGAAAACGATTGGGCACAATAAATTAGGGCTTCGTGTTGCTATCATTTGGCATAACACAATCAAGCTTTTTTTTTTTTTCTTTTTAAATATAAGGCAATTTGCCAACACATAATTTAAAAACTGGTCTTCAGTCACATTGCTTCAGATCACTAGAGAATTTCTGGCTAAAGAACAGTGGATAGCATACTAAACAAAATCCAAAACCTTAAATAAGAACATCAGCTCACATTCCCCAGAGATAAGAGGAAAGGCAAGGGCTTGTTTTTTTGTTTTTTTAAAAGAAAACCCAAGGATGCATCTTTTTAACAGAAGGGTGCAAAAATTTACAACAAAACATAACCTAAGTTTAAAGTTACAGAAAAGTTTTAAATCTCTAGCCAACTAGTTGTCATTTGGGAATAACACGTGTCGTATCGAGCATGGTGTGGGTGGGGTGTGCTCTAGGAATGGGCAGGGACAGGAGGGGCTGTTTCTGACGTAGGCCCATCTCCAGTGGTTAGAACCATGCTCATTTGGTAAAGGAATAATTCAAAGAGCTTAAGGCTTTGTGTTTGTTTTTTTTCTTTCTTCTTTAAACTTGAGGGGCTGAGACAGGAGGTGGCTAGAGGATGAATGTACCTGTGGGGCCACTCACACACAATGCTACTCAAACCCACACTACATTCATACAGAAACATTTAAAACTTACAGTGTAGAGCAATATTCTTAGCCAGTGTAGAGAGAACCAAATGCTGTTTTTCTTTTTCTTTTTTTTGGTGTTTTCAGTTCCAGACTCCAGTGTGATCATTTCTTATCTACCTAATTCAAGTTAGGTAGTTTTTCAAATTTGTTCATTTTTTGAGGACAGGTTGGGAGATACAGGGAGCCGGGAAGTCAGAAGAGAGGCAATAGTGAGAAAACAATCTTGGGTACACTGGATGAAGTGATGCAGCTACAAGCCAAGGAGTAGCAAGGAATGCTGACAACTACTAAAAAGAAAGAAGAGACAAGATGGATTCTTCCCGGAAACCTTAAGAGGGCACATGGCTCTGCCAACACCTTGATTTTGGACTTCTAGCCTCCAGAACTACATTTATCTAGGGCTGGAAAGGGGAAATCAAGATGGTAATACAAAGACATGATTTTTCCATGTCTCACGGCTATGGCCAAGTGTCTGCAGAATGCCCTTGAGGTGGAGGGATCAAGGACAAGTGCAGAGGCACAGGATCAGTAAAGATGCAAAACAAAACCTTAAGGAATGGAGAGGCGCAGAGAGGAGCTGAAGACAGGTTGGTGTTGATCTGAGATCTTTGGATGAATAAGGAATTAACTTCCAGAGGACTGGAAATGTCTGGCTTCTCAGTCCTACAGAAAGAGACGGGGAGAGGCCTATCTTAAGGGGCTAGGTACCTACATCTACCTCACCTTAGGGCCCTTTCCTCAGTCCATATGTCAGTCTTAAGGGAAATAGGTAGAGGCACAGGAAAAGACAGGAGGAGGCTGCTGGGAGATGAGTATGATGAAGGGACTGACTGATAGGCAGGCAGTCGGGGGGGAAGCCTGCTGGGGCTAGTAGAGGGGAGTATGAGGGCACAGAAGACCCATCTCTGTCCTCAATGAGATCCTGACAAACTTCCTTTCTCAGACAGCTAAGAATGATCACATTGGAGCAGTAAATTTTTTTTTAAAACTATCCAGTTACTCAAAAGAAAGACTAAACCTAGGAGGGTGATGTATGATGTATATCCTGTGAAGGGCACTGGGGCTACCTATCTATACCCTGGGTGCTGAATATGAAGACTTCGACTATCTGTGGGATCAGGGGCACGGCTGCCAGGGGCACGGTGGGCCTTGCTCAGCATGGCCAGGCTCTGTTCTCGGAAGCAGGCCTGCTGGAAATCCCCACTTAGGTAATCCACTGTTTGCATCAAGGTGTTCTGGCTTGCCACTGGACCGCCCCCGGTCCCTGCTCGGTAGTGGGCCCCAGCAGCCGCAGCACAGTCGAGAGGTGCACCTGTGGGCTGCCCACCATGGAACGGCATGGCGAGGTCCTGAGACCCTGAGCTGTCGCTATTGGGAGTGGGCAGAATGTTGTTCCACAGGGGTTGGAAGTAGTGACCATTGGGGTAGGCCAGTGGGGCTGCCAGGCCATTGACTGGTGGGGATGGGGTTGGCTTCTCCAGGGGTGGCTTCAGATGGAAGGACTGTGCCAGGCAGAGTTCCTGCGAGTAGGCAGGGGCCTTGCCCACAAAGCCAGGCCCTGCCAACTCACGTCCTGCTGCATGCTTGCCGGTCAGGCCAGGGGCTGCCGGTGTCCCACCAGCCTCGCTGCACATCTGTTGTAGGTGGGCCAGCTGATGCTGGTTCCAGGCGACTGACTTGAGGTCGCTAGGGTAGCCAGTGGGGGCTCGAGAGATGCCCGTGGGCAGGTTGACAAGGCCTGCGGCAGGCAACGTGGCCGTAGCCGCATGAGTGTGCTCCATGGGATTGACCACACATGAAGGCATTGGTGTGGGGACGCTGTGGGTCGACACACGGGTGCTTGCATTGATGAGCAGACTGCGGCTAATGGGGCTGGGGTTGGCGATCTGGCCCTCACACACTGAGGTAGTGCTGATGCCCGCCCTCGTCTGGCAAAACTGGTTGATCTGGTGCACGATGCTGCTCAGGTCCGGGGGCTGGCTGTGCTGCAGGGTGGCTGCCATTGAAAGAGGGATAGTTGAGGTAGACACGGTCACATTCGGGGGGGCATCTGAGTCTGGTATCTTCCGGCCTCCATGCAACAAGGGATTAGGGGGGTGCTGGAGACCCTGGTGAGCCAGAGCCTGAGGGTGGACCAAGCCCTGGGTTTGGGCCATGGGCTGAGGATGGCCCAGGCCCTGAGGCTGCTGGAGGCTCTGAGGATGGGGCAGCGCCTGGGGTGGCGGGATACCCTGAGGGTGCTGCAGCGTCTGGGGAGGAGCATGGGCCAGGGTCTGTGCATGCTGCAGGGCCTGCTGGCGGGCCAGAGCCTGGGCCTGGGGGTGGGCTAAAGTGCTGGGTGCCACGGTAGCATAGGGTGCCACTGGGGGGTTCATGATGGCCTCAGGGAGCAACCGGGCTCGGGTGCCGTCAAAGTCCTTGAGTATGCTTTTGGCTGGCACTTTGACAATAGCAAGCAGGCCTGCCTTGGTGGCAGCCTGAGTCGGGTAGGGGCTGTAGCGCTGGGCTGATGTGTCGAGGCCGTTCACAGTACGACGAACGTGTTTCCGCTGGGGAACCTTCACACTGTTGGGGAAGATTTTTATAGTCAGTGGGTTGTTTGCAACCTTCTTAGCATATGCATCCAATTCGGCTGGGGTAGGATAGTGAGCAGTTCTCATTTTCTGTGTAGTGTCCCCTAGAGAAAGAGAAGAGAGAGGAGAGCAAAGAGGGAGAGGGAGCTCATCAGTGTCAAAACGATTAGCCCTTCTGGATCCCCTTCTGAGGGTCTAGGGTAGAGGGGTAACTAGCCTGTCATCCCTAACCTCCATTCTAGACCATTCCTTAGGCCCGATGGTAATAAGCACTGTTAACATTTAGTAAAGACTTAAAAGTGTGCCAGGTCCTGGAGTAAGTGACAGGTTATTTCACTCAATTCTTACTACCACTTTAGGAGGCAGGTCCTATCAGAATTTCCACTTTACAAATAAGATTAACTAAAGATCAGAAGCTCTGGTAGCATAGTGCCTAAGGCACTCGACTGCTAACCAGAAGGCTGGCGATTCAAACCCACCAGCCACTCCTCGGAAGGTTGATGGGGAAATCTACTTCCGTAATGATACTGCCTTGGAAATCCAAGGAGGGGTTGCTATGAGTCGGGTCCGACTCGACGGCACATAACAACAACAACAAAGATCAGAATGGCCAAGCAACTTTCCAAGTCCCATAGCTTAGATGGCCCAAACGTGACCAAGTCCCACAGAGATGACCCAGAATTCTTTTTCCCCTATATGGAAATGCAGGAGACTGTAACTCGCCACAAGCTGCCTGCCAGCCCAGCTTGAAAGTTCTAAGCAGGGCTGCTTGTCAGGACACTTCATGGCTCCCAGTCCCTTCCCTGTGACACTGGAACAGCTGGGACCTGGACTGAGTACTCTGCTGTGTGCAGATGGCCAAAAGGCAGCATCTTTTCCTTTTGCCTCAGCAGTTGGGGCTCCGTGCCCACTGGGTGGGCATCCTGGCACAGTGGACAGGATGCTGCTTTTTCAGGAACAGAGGAATAGGCTGCCAACAATCCTCCCCTATCCCCATGTCACAAGTTCACTTTGTTTATGGGTTACTCTGTGCCTGACTGGGTGAAGATCAAAAGACTTTATTTATTTGCTTGGGGGGGATGACAATAATGACAAGGCAGAAGGGAGGGAATTGAGAAGAAAGGATTCAGAGAATCTTTAAGTCCTGAAAGCCAAAAATAGTCTGAATTCGGCCCATGTCAGCTGTCACTTTCCAAGTGAAAGAGAAAAAACCTGCCTTCCTTTGGAGGCTGCGGATATACCCACTCAATGTGCCTCCTCATTAATGTTAACAGTCTCTTTGTTCCCATCTCCTGTTGCCTCCCATCAGGGGGGCTCCAGCGGATGTCAAGCTTCCAGTCAAAAAGGAAAAGGTTCTGAGAACAAGTGCTCTTTAAGGATTCCAGGCTCCTGCAAGGGGTGTCTCACTCTGTTTTCCCCCACTCTCTGAGGGAGGGTCTCCCTTGAGCACACACAGAAGGTGCTTAATAGATGCTTGCTGAATGAATAAGGACACCCACTGCCCACAGCAGAAGGAAAATGATTTGGCTGGGAGCCTAGCCCCAGCTAGCTGACTCCCTCCCCTACTTCCTCCTTTTGCAGAATGCAGCCAGGATAGACCAGGGACTAATCTGACTGAATGCTCGGCTTGTGGCCCCAGTTGGCCTTAGCCCAAAGGAAATCCCATTCAAAGTCACATCACAGGGCAACAACTGGAACAGAAGTAGGCTAGTAAAAGTTAGCTAGAAGGAAAAGAGCAAAGTTGTCTTCATTTGGTGACACTACTGATTAGCTGGCAGCAACTGCTTAGAAGCTGCTCTTGGAGGCAGGAAAAGGAAGTTCAAGTGCAGAAGGGGCAGAAAAAGTTGGTTCCATACTCAAAAAAACAGACCTAAGCAAAAAGGGCACAGGCCTTTCAAATACTGACACAGTACCTTGTACAAACACACCAATATATTTTAAGGCTTTCCTTTATTTACTGAGTACAGAATAGATGCTCCATAAATAAATGGAATGTTTGTGAGATGACTGATTTGGGAAAGGTCTTAAAAGGATGAATGTGATGGTGACTACCAGGGCAGGAAGGAGGGGTAAGCAGAGAGAAATCTCTCACCTACTAGGCAGCACCACCTAGTGATCAAAGTCCACAAAGCATAATGTAAGCTCCGCTTTGTTTCTTATAAGCCACTGACCCTCAACAGCCCTCAGTCTCCATAAAGTGGGGCTATTATCTGATCTTCTATATAATCTCCTGGACAAAAAGATACAAAAAACACGTGGGATCACTGAGAGAGAAGATAGTCCTTCAACTGACAGCACTAAAATGCTATTAGAAGCTGCCCTAGTCAGCCATTACACTTAGGTGTCTGAAGGTCAAAATCATCTGACACTCCCAGCACAGTACCTTATCCAGAGCAAGTATACAGTAAATACCTGGTAAGTGCCTGACTGAACAATGGGGTTTCAGTGGACTAACAGAGTCAGAAGTTGTTGGGCTTTAGTTCAGAAAGGAAATGCAAGGTGTGCCAATGGATGTTCCATTACCCATGTTGGTGGGTGAGAGAGGCCCACTTCTTACTTGGAAAGCCAAGGAATAGAAAGCAGTACTGTTATCTTGTTTAAAAAAAAAAAAAGAATTCCTTTGTTCTAAAGCTGTGCCAATTCTCAGGTTGTTTTCTAGCAGAGGCAAGAGGGTAGCCTGGCCTGGTTCGGTACAGTCACAGTTCCTAGAACTGGTAGCAATGAGACATTTATCCACATTGATTACTTTTCTTTGTCCTGCCTCCAATTCTATTGATAGCAGTGATGAGAACGGACAAAAAAATCAGAATCCAAGAAAGTGAAGGTGGGGAGGGCAGACACAAGGCTACATTGTCTTTGTTAAGGAAGAACCTCAAGGATGAGATGAGTATATGGGACAAGAAAGAAACCACACTCTGGGAATTCAGCACCACTCACCTCACATATCAAACTTAAGTCCAAACTTTAAAATTAAAACAAAACAAAAAAATAAAACAATAAAACCACACAAGTTTTTCCTAACACTTGTTTATCTCAGTCCCCACACAGGTACCCTGATGCCTTTCTTTCTCCTATAACATCTCCCTCTAAGTGCACAGCCAATACAGAAATCACAGGAAGCAATTTACACACACACACACACACAGTTTCATTAACAGATACTTCGCAGTAAAGAGAACAAGGTATCTGTGATTGGAAAAAAAGGTTAGAAAGATCTGGATTCAAGCACTGGCTTGATCACCTAACTACTCCCCCTTAGTCATTCCTCATTTCTAAACAAGAATGGTACCTGCTCTCCTACTTCATGGAATTACTAAATTCAAGAGATTCAATGAACAGGAAATGCCATGTGAAGAGGAATCATGACTGCTGACAGTTACTATTCAAGGACAGTAGAGACTATCTACCCTGACACTGGCCACAGAAAGGACAAAGTAACTTCAGGAGACTCTGGCCTCAAGTCTGAGAATTAAACAGAATAGAAAAGCACTGCTGTCTATTCTAAGGACTGCAAGTGGGGGAAATCTTGGATCTAGTGTTTCCCCAAAGAGACTTCCCTTCTATTTCAAAGACCAGAAAACAGTGGTGGCACATGCAGCAGGAACCTATACCTGCAGGTAGAGAAACACAGGCAGTGTGCTTCAAACACAGATTTTGGAATCTGATCTGGGTGTAAGTCCCATACCTATCAAGGAACAATCATGTGACCTTGGCAAATCCTCTATGCATCATCTTTGTTGTTGTTGTTATATGTGCCGTCAAGTTGGACCTGACTCACAGTGACCCTTCCTTGGGTTTCAGAGGCAGCATCACTACAGAAGCAGATTACTCAACCTTCTCAGGAGAGATTAAGTCTTTCATACTGAATTATTGAAAAATAAATGAGAACATATTGTTATGAGTTTATCCAATCATTTGGCCAATCAACCATTTCCAGGCTCCTCCACTAGGGGGCAGACAGGCATATAAAGAAGCAGGAAAAAATGGTAATTTTGACGTATATCCCAGTCCCCAAGGCTCTGCCAAAAGATCAGAGTTGTTGTCTAAAAGATTTCACCTTTGGTCATTTCAGCCACTCACAGTCAATATTTACTGAGCTACTACTACATACCTGATCCTGAGTTGGGAGAAAACAGGACAGAAGCTTATGGTTACATATGAAAATATATTCAAATACACATTTTCTGGGCCACTGGCAGAGGATGGGTCAGAGGAAAACACAATTTGGAAGTAAAGAGTTCCAAAAGTGGCTGAGGACTCTCCAAGTAAGTGACAGCATGGAATGTATAACTTAGAAAAGCTCTAGGAGGGCATCCACCTAACCCCAACAGTGTTCTTTCTACCAAGGGCAGATAGGAAACTCATTACAATATCCTACACAGACAGAAAAGAGAAGATGAGAAAACATTAGCATTCAGTCCTATGATTGTGTACATATGGGCTAAAGCCTGGGGAGAAGTAATTAACCAGATCACTTGCAGCGCTGGGCCAAGAAGCCACTTATCCCATCGCCTAAGCCCCGGGTTCATCTCTCCTACCTAAAGCCAACTCTTTCAGTACAAAGCATATCAAACTATAAATACTTGTACCCTATCTCTACCACACTAGATAGTGAGCTCTGTTTCAAGACCCTCCTGAGGATGGGTGAAGGAGCTCTGGTAGCATAGTGCCTAAGGTTATTTGACTACTAACCAGAAGACTGGCGGTTCAAACTCACCAGCCACTCCTTGGAAGGAAGGTTGGGCAATCTACTACCGCAGTGATACCACCTGGGAAACCCAAGGAGAGGTCACTATGACTCAATGGCAGTGGGCTTGTTTTTTTTTTTTTTTTTAAGGATGGGGGACAGGGAAAGGCTAAGAAGCAGAAATCAAAAAACTGGTTTTACCGCCTCAATGGCTGATGGGCCTAGGCTCTGAACAGCTGGTTCTCAAAGACAGCTTATCTCCATCTCATCCTCACTGTAAATGTTTACAGTTATCAGTTACATGACAGAATTTTTTCCTTGTATGTGGGGGGTGGTAAGGGAGCTGGCTTAAAAACACCATTAGGCTCTCTCCTCTGCAATGGGTTTATTTAAGAATAGTACCAAGAGAGTTGGAGGGAATCAAATGCATTGTCCCCTAAATGGACAAGTGAACCTGAAACCAGGAAAGAAGGATATCCCAATTCTTGAATCCGTATTTGGGAACAGTGGTTGGCATACACTATTTAGGGGCTGCTTTGGAGAGAAGCAGTGATCCAACATCAGCAATAAGATAAAGCTGCCAATTTTTCTCTCCCCGCAAATGGCTCTTCTTTGGATGTCACATCTCTGGGTAAAGCTGTCAGAGTGTGTTAAGGAACTTAGAAGAAAGAAACTGAGCTTCTCTTTGTCATCTTATCATATGTCTCCAAGTATATGCCCTCTCTAAGTTGTGTCTGTGGAGGCCCAGAATTCGGCCCAATGCAGTGAACACGCCGATTTGGCTGGCTGGGGATCACACACAATTTCATCATTCAATCATCATTTATTAAGAAAGGGCCGAAGAGAAAGTTGACACAGCAGAGCTTGCATATTATGTCAGGCAGCTGCAGATTTCAGTTTTGTCATTAAGCAGAGCTGGCGTCACTATCCAAATTACAGACCTAGCCAGGCTCCCAGTCTTACTCTCCCTCAAAGAAAGAAAGGCAAGAGGTTAAACCATGTCTAACTTCTGAAGATGGTCTTATAAAGTAGGGGTCAGCAAATTAAGGCTGATGGGCCAAATCCAGCTGCTATGTATCTGAGTATAGCCAAGCTCCTTCATTTACATTTTGTCTATGGTTGCTTTCACCCTACAACAACAGAGCTGAACAGCTGCAACAGAGACCATATGGCCACAAAGCCAAAAGTTTGCCAACACCTGTCATAGGAGATTCTGGGAAGGTGCTGAAGCACACTTTTCTATTAATGTCTAGATGCCTCAATGATTTTCTTTTCTTTTTTTTTTTTTTTTGCTCTGAAAGGAAGGTCTATTTCCAAATTTAGGGCTGTTTTTACACCTTGAAGATACTGAACATGGTAATGAGCCAGGAATGGAAATCTTTTTGAACATCTTGTAGTGTAAGGACAGAAGGTAGGAATCTGGGAAAATATAAAGTATTTGAACTGGAAGCTCTACTTCCAGACAGCTTAAGACAGGAATCTAACAGACAGTTCTCAAAGGTTCCGTTTTGTGAGAAGCATTAGCAGAAACACACCAAGAGAGATTCTGAGAAAGCTAGTTTCCCATCCCTTCTGAGGTAAAAGCTCTTTTACTTGCTGTGAACTGAAAGTCACACTGCCTCAGAGGGCAGACAGCAAAGTCAAAGGGCTGTTTCCATGGTAGAGTGTACTTAGAGGGTTCAAAACAAGGGGGCAGTGTAAATAGTTTCAGAGATACAGTAAGTAATCTGGACTGTGAGTTTTCTTTTGATACCTCAGGAGTTCACACTGAAACACTTTTACGAAGGGGATCTAATGTACCTTATAGCTGTGTTGCTCAACAGAAAGGTATCAACAATTAAAATTAAGATGAGATATACTGGGGAATTTTAGTATTTAAGAGGATGTCTTTGATCAGAAAAGTACCTCACACTGTAGAGGCTTTGCAGCTGCTTTCCTGCTCTCTTGTTTACCAAAGTCCAAGGTCAATGTATCCAGATGTTGTCTCTGAGTCCGATCAGATGTAGAGACAAAACAAGGAATCACATCGTCCCCTGGGATCAAGATTACTCACATTTCTGAAGTCCAGTGTTCATCTGCGTGTGAGAAAGAAGCTGAAAGGACAGGTCACCTGGCCCTGGTAGACAGGCTAGCATGGCAGACTGGCATCAACACAACATGCGGCAGTCACTCACACTGTAATGAGCAAAATAAAAAACAAGATCAGGGAACACAAGGCTACTCACTCAATGAAGATACCAGGAACACCAGATACGCGCAGCAGAGGCCCAAGTTTAGATAGAAAAACAGTTTAATTAGCAGAAAAGCATCTTAAAAGGCACAACTGTTGTTGTTTTTAGGTGCCCTCAGTTGATTTTTGGCTCACAGCGAGCAACAGAGAAGAACTTCCTTATAGGCTTTTCTATGCTATAATCTGTATGAGAGCATATCACCAGGTCTTTTCTCCCGCAGAGACGCTGAGTGGGTCTGAACTTGCAACATTGCAGTTAGCAGTTGAGTGCTTAACTGATGCACCACCAAGCCTTCTTAAAAGGCACAATTAACCAATGTTTAAGCAAATTCTATTTGTAAGGCTCTGGTACTTCACCTTTCCTATGGTCTATCACACAATTAGACCTCCTGGATCCAAAATAGAAAGGGGAAAAAAGTAAAAATTAAAATGTATTGCTCCAAGTAACTAAGTCAAGGAAGTGGTAGGCTGGCAGCAGCTTGATTTGGGGCCATGACCCTGACATTATGTCAAGATGGCCTGGGTTTCATCAGTGATGTTTACCACAAGACTACACAGTCTAAGTAAGCAGACATGAGTGTGGCCTTCTGTAGTGAAGGAAACTCTGTCAACAGTGCAATCTCCTTGTATACCAAGGACTATGCTTCTCTCAAATAAGTATAATGGAGTAAAATACACAAACTTCCTTTCCCATAATGCTAATCTCAGAAATCAGGGTGACCCACTAAGGCTTCAGATCATAACAAAAGAGGAGTCCACAAAACCTCTTTATTACCCTCAGAGGGCCTTCTCAGGTATGTGAAACTACCTTGTTATGATGAATATCAGAGAGCTCCAGCTTGCAAGGCCAGGTAACTGAGAATATACTTTGCAAAAGAGGCTGTTCAACTGTGTCTAACACAGCAAGGGCAGAAAGAACAGAAGATTGAATGCCTCAACAAGAAGAGAGCGACCCAAGAGTTCTGGCACAGATTTGGTCTTTTTAGGTCTGTGGTGGGTGGGATAATAGAATTAACAGTGTGCCAAGTAGTGCCTCAAGAAATAAAAAGTTCCAGTTGGGATCAAACAACTGAGGCACTACTTACAATCCTTCCCCTTGTGAATGGTGAGCTCTAATAACTTATCCCTTTTGATTTTATAACTGAGGGCAATCTCCAAGGAAGCGACCCAAAACAAAACCCACTGCCATCAATCAATGTGGACTCATAGAGACCCCTATAGGACAGAGGAAAATTGCCCCCATAGGGTATCCAAGGCTGTAAATCTTTACAGAAGCAGAGTAGCCCATCTTTCTTCCATGGCGTGGTGTTCTGGTTACCTAGTACCGCTCTAACAGAAACACCACAAATGGGATGGCTTGAACAAACAGGAGTTTATTCTCTTACAGCTTGGGAGGCTAAAAGTCCAAGTTCAAAGTACCAGGCTCTAGGGGCTGTGTGAAAGCCCCTCGACCTTGGGCTTCAGCTCTGCCTCTTGCTCCCGGTCCACTGAAGCTAGAGGCATCTCTCTTCACTCAGGCAGCTACTGAGGCTAACAAGCCCAAGGTCTATAAATACAATGGCACAGTCCCAATGTTACCAAACCACACAGCAGGCCATTCATTCAAGTCCACTGGAAGTCCCAAAGTCGGCAGAGCATGGCAGGCTGCTGAAGAACAACACAGCTACATGCAGGGTTCAAGTGTGCCATAAGCTAGAGACCATTCCCAAAGCTGTTTCTTATATAAGGGAAGCAGACCACATTCCTAAAGCAGCTACTCAGATGCTTGTAGTAGGTCCCACTAAGAAGCTGTTGCCAGTCTCATCGTGGGGAATAACTACCACCAGCTGCCCAGATATTCAACCAGGCCCAGCCAAGTTGACACACAAACTTAACCACCACAGAGTGGCTGGTGGATTTGGACTGTCAACCTTCTGGTTAGCAGCCAAATGCTTTAACCACTATGCCACCAGAACTTCCCTTCCTTGGGAAAGTAATGGGATTATAAATACTGGAACCTAATGTTGTGAAATAGACTGGAAAAAGAGCATTAGTGATGTTTTCTCAATTAAGCCTCACAACCTTTCTTAAAGAGCTCTGGCAGCGTAGTGCCTAAGGCACTTGATTGCTAACCAGAAGGCTGGTGCTTCAAACCCACCAGCCACTCCTCAGAAGGAAGTTTGGGCAATCTACTTCTGTAGTGATACTGCCTCGGAAACCCAAGGAGGGGTTGCTATGAGTCAGGTCCGACTCAACGACACATAACAGCAACCACCACCCTTCTTGGACACTGGTAATAATTTTGTCATCTCCTCATCTCTAGCCTGGATTAATGGCCTCTAAATGGTCTCTCTGTTCTACCCTCTCTGTTCCACCTATTCTCCACACCTCCACACAGCAGCCACAGTGATTTATTTTTTTAATTGAAGAAGTTGTATCAGCTCAAAACTCTCTCGTGACTTCCCATCTCACTCAGAATAAAATACAAAATCCTAACATGGCCCACAAGGCCCTCCAGGATCTTTTACAACTATCTCTATAACCTTATCTTCTAACCTTGCTTCCCTTACTTTGCTGACTGGACTTCCAGCCAAAGTTGTCTCCTTGCAGCTCCTCTAATGAGTCAAACCAACTCCCAGCTCAGGGTCTTGCACTTACTCCTTCTCCCTGGAAAGTCCTTGCACCAGATGTCTGCCTGTCTCTCTAGCTCCTCACTTCAGATTTCTGCTCAAATATTACTTCCTCAGGAGGGGCTTCTTTGATTTCCCCATCTAAAACAGCACCTCTATTTCCATCACTCATTACAACCATCATTATCACTCGTTTTATTTCTGTCTCTCCACCTCCATCTGACCCTACTAGGACATAAACTCCTTAAGAACAGATACTTTTTTTTTTCCTCACTGCTATATAGGTTCCTTGGAAGGAAGGCTGGAGCCACTCCTCGGAAGAAGGCTGGGGAATTCTACTTCCGCAGTGATACTGCCTCGGAAACCCAAGGAGGGGTTGCTATGAGTTGGGGCTGACTCGACGGCACATAACAACAAATATAGGTACCTGACTGCTAACCAGAAGGCTGGTGGTTCAAACCCACCAGCCACTCCTCAGAAGGAAGGTTGGGCATTCTACTTCTGTAGTGATAGCGCCTCGGAAACCCAAGGAGGGGTTGCTATGAGTCAGGGCCGACTCGACAGCAGGTAACAACAACAACGACGTATCTAGAATAGCATCCAGAACAGTACCTAGCTAGCACTTAGTAGGTGCTCCATATGTAATTGTTGACTGTGCAAATGTTTATCATAGAATCTATTTAGTGATGGAGAGCCAGGATTGAAACCCAGGTTTGACTTTGTCCAAAGCCTGTGCTTACTCTCCAATTCCAGACTGTCACAGTTGGGGAGTGGAGGAGAGCAGTACAAGGAGAAAGGGGTAGGTTGCAAGGCTCACAATTTAAGTTAAAAATAATCTCCCTCTCTCTCTCTCTCTCTCTCTCACACACACACACAGGCGCGTGCGCACACAGACACACGAGAGGAGGGTGCATTGATGCTCCCCAGCTAGTAACTATTCCCCTGTGGCCTTCTGAAAGGGAAGGCAGATAAGAATGCTAAATCCAAGGTAAAGGACAGAGACAACTTTATAAAAGAACCGGAAGAGTTAGAACACTAAGAGAATGCTTTCTTAGTCTCAGTCATATCTACAGACTCCCTGAAGCATTACTTTTTATGTTTTTGGAAGCTGATAGATGTATAGGAATAACTAAGGAAGGAATGTAGAGCATAATTAGTGTCCTGTTTTCACCTTTAAGATATATTTGTGTCAATGTTAAGAGGGAAAAAAAAAAGAAAAGCAACACAGTAAGTTTGTTTACAACACATATAAAATAACAACCCCTCCTCTCTCAGCTTAAACTGAAAAGAGAACAGAAGGAAATACTCTAAAGCACACAGAACATGAATAGTAGCTATTTGGGGCAATTTTTCATTATACTTCCCCATTTTCATTATTTCCATAACTTTAAAACTGAAAAAGAAGTTAACATACAAACAACAGGCCTCAAACCTTAAGAAATGTTCCTATCTGGAGAGCTGAGACACTGTCACGATGGAGGTACACACAGAGTCCATGCGTGCAGCTGTCTTGCAGATCGTTCTCCTTGAACTATTATTCTCTATATCCTGTAACTTTTGGAAGGAGCCCATCTGTGAATGATCACTTCAATCTCTGCTAATACCTATTATATCCTGAGGCCTACAATTAAGCGAGATGAATGAGGGTGTGTGGATCCTAAGAACTGGCTATAACATATTGCCCCTCAAGCTACAACACTGGATTTCCACAGGGAGAACAGAAAGGTAAATCAGCTAAACTGTGGAAAAGAGACATTTGTGGATTTACTGACAGCAAATAAGGAAGCAAAA